TTACCTTCATTAATACTCACAGAAACACACTTTACCTTCATTAATACACAGAAACACACTTTACCTTCATGAGCTGAGCTCCGGCATGTTGATCTGCCATCAACACGGAGCGTCCCGATGAACTTTAACCCTGAATAAACAATGTGCAGTTGAACACCCCCAGCCTCAGATAGAGCGGCCACACCTGGACCGACTTCACGTCGTCCAAAGAGTCAGAAACATCCAGCAAAGATCCTCTCCGGTGTCCGTTCCTCACCGCTCCTCAAAGCTCAATTGTTTCCTCAGATCTGTATCAAACTCCGGAAGAAGTTACGAGGCTTCATGTCTGTGATTTGATCCGCAGAGGAGAGGCCTGGAGCACCGACAGACCCGTCACATTCCTCCGTCCTGCTGCTGCTGCTGGTGTAACCACCTGAGCGGGGCGGAGCCATGAGGAACTCTCACTCTGTTCCTTTCTTTCAAACTTAAACACCTGTTTTATTTTGTCAAACATTTTCTTCAAAAGAAAAGTAACATTGAAAGGATATTTTCTCAAGAACTGCACTTGAGTACAAGAGCTACTTGTACTCAGTGGTGTAAGCCATATTCAGATCCTTTACCACACTAAGTACAAAGTAAAAAGTACAATATGTACATCTGAGATGTAGTACAGTAAAAAGTACAATAATTACCTCTGATATGTAGTAGGCTACAGTAAAAAGTACAATATGTACCTCTGAGAGAGACCGAGCCGTATTTCCCTGGAGGCTACGGGTTCTGCTAGCCGTGTCCTTTTGATCCGTGATCACTTCGGGCGACAGATTTTGGTGAATCTGTTCGTCGCCGGCGAGGATCCCTCAGTTTGGGCAAACTTCTGAGGTTCCTCGTTCTTCGTTAAAACAAAAAGGTCTCCCTCCAGGAGCGGGGGAGGGGCCTACCTTCAGTTTAAAACGTGTGACCATTGCACGTGACACCTGGTAGTAGGAGTCAGGTGTCCCGCCAAGGCCTGGTGAGTCATCTCCTCCTACACCACAAAGGATTTATTCCACAAAAAAGGACTTTCACCCAGTAAGAAATTAATATAATGATCAGACTGTAATAAATTGAAGCAATGGACGTTTTATGAGCTGTTGCTTTGCCCCTGCTAAGTATCCTGCAATAAATATCAATGATGCATGTAAAGCACGTAGTCTTGAGGATTCATTGATAAGGCAGTGAAGATTACTCATGTCGTAAAAAGTATTACTGCGTGCTTAACAACAATAGATCTCTGAAGGGTTATTCTAGTTCTTAGTCCGCTAGACTTGGCTAACTAGAGACCGATCTTTAACCTTCCCTTCCTCTCTAGGATCCTTGAGAATGTAGTCCCAAATCAGTTGTGTGACTTTCTACATAACAATAGTCAGGATTTAGAGAGCATCATAGCACAGAGACACAACTGGTGAAAATTCGAGAGACTAGAACATTTGATTGGCATTAAAGGAACCACACTAGGCTGGTTTTAGTCCTATTTATCAGATCAATCCCAGTTTGTATATGTAAACGGTGAATCCTCCATGAACACCAAAGTGTGAGAAGGAGTTTTATTTACGAACGCCTTCAGCTCACTATGAGCATCTGTTGCAGTCTGGCCTATTCTCTGGCTTTACTAACTTTACTTACAGAACATCCTCGGGTCAAGGTGGGTTCATAGTCAGACCTGCATTCTTACGTACAACTTAAAGGCTTCCTTCCTAAAACACTAGCTGCTGTTGTATCACTTATTACAGACTAAGAAGTCGGCCTCCCAGACATCCCCGATATCAACGGCTTGTGTGCGCGACAGGTGATGGAGGACTGGAAGTAGTCCAGGATGGACCTGTTTAAAAGGCCACCACAGGAGGAGGAACCCTGTGGGGTTGGGATCCTCCCTCGGTTATGAAGGTCAGCTTCAGGACTCTAACCCTAACACCCTCAAATCAGGCACCAATCTGACCCCTACTGCTTCACCAAAGCCACAACAGTTATGTCTAAGTCCTGTAATCACATGAACACCAAGCATGATAAACCAGCAGAGCATCAACACTATCTGAGCCAACCAAGTTAGTAAATCACATCAGACTGAAGAACAGCATTTAAGCTCAGCTTGTAGCAGGTCTGTTGTTCATATTCATATCCAATCATGCACTGCTGTCAGCCTCTCAGGAGAAGAGCTCTCTGACCTTATGGAGACTACGCAGACACCCTCAGAGACCAGCAGCACTGGGCTTTGGTTGGAATGTACAAAATACAAACCAGTTTTATTTGTTTTATACAATAAAAAGAAGATTAAAAGTTACAAAAAAGGATAATGTGAAAAGCAAATAAAAGAAAAGGCAAAATTCAAAAGTTCAAATCACCAAATAATCCTCGTCAAAAAGACTCCTAACTAGGAGCACCTGAATAAACCCCAAAAAGCCCTGATTGTTTGTAGTCTTCTCCTATTTCTACCTTTTTACTTGGAGCATCGTTAACCTCCTGGTCCATATATGGTCGACTACTAAACATTAGTAAATCATTGGATGAAGCTGTTTACGTAGTCTTACAGTTCATGACAGACTTCTTTAAGTTAGCACTTATTTCTAAGGTTCCTGTCTGGTCTTCCTGGTGGAACATCAGTCAGGGTGTCTCCTAAACAGTTAGCATGGTTACAGCATCTGACCTCACATCCTGTTTCCTTTGCTGACTGACAAAGATCAGAGCAAAGTATGTCAAACCAAGATTATCTCATTAAATCATCTCAACCAATTATGCTTCACAGAGCATGTCGGATATCACATCGATAAATGACTGAAAGTCACTTAAACATTATCATCATTAAATGACCACTCAGTAATAATAGAAATCAAAGAAGTAAAATCATGAGAGATTCATTGATAGGAGAGAAACCAATAGTAACTCACTGAGTAGAATAAAACTTAAATGCATCAAGACTTTATGAGTCTGAAATAGAACTAAAGAAAACAAGCCAAGTCTGTTTCACAGCGCCGGGGTTACAACTGAGAGAATAAGACTCAAATATTGTCATTCGTGTCATCAGAATACATCTGCAGCACATGAATGTAACAGAATACACACATGTAGTAGATGTTGGGCTCTACATGAGACAGTGATGTTATGAATCTGTTCATTTCATCATTCACACAGTCTGTGATTTATTGCCAGCTGTTCTTTCTGCATTCAGCAGTTTGAACTGTGTTACTTTTATGACTTAACTTCTTCTTGTTGGTTCAATATTTCCTAACGATCCACGTACTGAGCTCTGATTGGTCAGTAGGCAGTGGTTTTATACGAGTTGATAGGTGGGCGGGGCTACACCGACATTACAGAGTCAAGTCAAGCTGCTCAGAATAAAACCTCTTTTTGTGAGTAGGAGTTCTTTAACCCTGTGACTCTGTGAACACAGCTGAATTCTGTTCAAAATGATGGTAAAATACGTTCACTATACACTGTATAGTGAACATATTTTAACAGAATTTTAGTGACATTGTTTAACTTTACTACGTACTTAAAATAGCTGAAAAGCACCATGCACAACATTACGACTGGTGGTGCCCCTATTGAGCGTTTTCACAATACAAGACAAACATTATCATGAAACAAATCAAATTTACAGTCAATGACTTCTGGTGTGAGGGGCGTGGTTTTTCAAAAATCGCATTTTGTGACATTAATTACAGCGCCACCATGTGGCCGATCTGAGTTCTATATCTTGAGAAGCACATGAACATCATTTCCAGTTATTGTTCCAAGTTTCATTTTTCTACCTCATTCCAGCTCACGGGAGTTTGAGCTGAAGCGGCAGACAACAAATATGAACCCGAACAAATATAATCAGTAGAATTTCAAAAGGTCCTCGAGCCCTAAATAAGAGTAAATCTGTTGTGATATGAGGCCCAATGTCTTCATATGTGAGAGGGTGTCAGACTTTAGTCTTTTAAAAGTCTTCTGGTGTTTGGTACACTAAATAAAATCCAGGTGGAGGTGGTGGAGCAGTCTGTCTCCAGATGCTCTCTGGATCATCAGGACTCAGCTGAGAGAGATCATTTCCATCTGATGAGAGAAGAAGAAGACAAGAGAAGAGATGAATGAGTGTTTACAGAGACTCCCTTCATCAGCCGTCAGTCAGTGACGCAGCACATCCAGTAGAAAGAGCAGCTTCCTCTCAGCTCTCATGTTAACCTACACTGAGCTCCAGGCTCACACACCTGCAGACACTTTGGGCCTCCAGTCTGTTGACTCTGCAGGTTCCACTGAAATAAAGTGCTGAGAGTCCTGAACGCATCATGACTGCAGAACCAGAGAGGTGTTCACTGCTCACTGTAAAGATGGATGTAACCCTGTTATGCTGCATTCACAACAAACGCCAAGCAGACTTTTCACGTGACGCGATTACATACAAAGTAAACGCAAAGTCGCTAATAGACGTAAATTTGAGCGAATGAGGAGAAAGACGCGATGCAAATTTAAATATTTCCAATGGAGTAAGAAATACACGTGAGGCTGTGTCGTTAAGGCCTTTCAGCGTTGAGATTCTCCTCCTTCATCACTGACGTCCTGACGCTGTTGAATCAGAAATGGAGGATAAACATATTGTATCCGTCTGTGTTCACCCAGAGCTCTACGATACCTCATACAGAGACCAAACTATGTGTATGAATGAGTATGAACCACAGACTGTCTATGGTACAAACAATAACCACGCTGACCTATTTACACCAAGATGATGGAGCAGCTACAATGTTAGCATAGCCTAGCATCTATTGATCCAGACTCCATTCAGAAAACAACCATTTTAACAATTGTTTGCTTGTCATCTTGTGGACAGACCTGACAAAGCATGAAGTCAGACTTTTTACAAATCAACATCATTATATAGTTATTTCAGCATCCTTTGAATGTTTGTTAAACTTAAATCACAGCTGAATCTGCTTATTTTGGGTTCATACAGCTGTAGTAAACCAGCCGACGAGTGTCTGGATAGATACAGTGAATACAGCCTCCAGATGATGTTATGAACCAGACATGATGGAGTTTGGTTTCAGATATCTGGGACTTCCTCAACTTGTACAAAGCAGCACTAGTGGTTATTTCAGCCATGATTGATGATTGGCTACATGTAACGCTGGTTCTATGAAGTGAGAGCAGTGATGTGCAGGCTTCAGTCAGACTGATCTCAGAGCTGTGACAAAGATCAACTGATCAATAGTTTGATAGTTTGATGAATGAGGACCACTGTCTCTAAACATCTGATGATGCCGTCAGCTGTTAACAAGCTTCACTTCCTGTAGACGTGAACAACAACACATCGACTCAAACACACAATCACAACAAGCTTCTGACTCATCTGATTGGCTGACTGCTCTCTCTCTCTCGTCCAATCCTGAAGCCTGTGCATCTGTGTTTGTTACAATACTGCTGAAACCAGCATGGACTGACTCCACCCCTCTACTGACCTCAGAGTCTCCAGTCTACAATGTGGACTCTTCACAAGATCAGACAGCAGCTTCACATCTGAATCCTTCAGGTTGTTGAAGCTCAGGTCCAGTTCTCTCAGATGGGAGGGGTTTGACTTCAGAGCTGAGTCCAGAGAAGAACAGCCTTCCTCTGTGATCTTACAGAGTGACAGACTGCAAACACACAAACAACACACAGAGTTTCTTATATCGACACACAATGAATAATTATTTTCATCATGAACATGAGTGGCTTTCATTTTGGTTTCATCTTCTTTTGTAAACAGACATTATGTGAAAATCCTGTCACTGTAAAGACATTTAAAATCATTGATCAGTATTGATCCAGATTCTTCAGAGCGGATCAGAAAATAATATATAATTAATAAAATATATTGAAAAATACCAAATGATCTGAAATTGTTTCCTAAAAAATATTTTAAAAAAAGGTTTGGTTCTTTAAGTGTGATTCAATTAAACTTTCTTTTAATGATGCACATTGAGTCTATCAAGTATAGTATACATAGTAGGGTTGTCACGATACCAAAATCATGACTATGATACGATACCTGCCATAAGTATCATGATACCAGATACTTACGATACGATACCAGAATTCGATACAATACCACAAATACGATACGATGCTGGTATATTTATCTATAATAGTAATAAATAAAACATCTGTATGGTTCCCTTTTTTACCAGCTTGTTCCTGCCCAGCGTTTTGAACACTTAACAAATGGCATTCATATTAATGTTGAACCTCTTCGCCTCTCTCTTTTGAGCCTCTCTCATAATTCCGCTGGCTTTCAAACACAGCTGGAAGGGAACTCTGTCTCTGTGTTGCTGCTGACTCTGCTGGCATCTGTCTGACTGTCTGTGGGAGTGGGTGGATAAACAATGCTAAATTTACTTGCATAGTGAGTTTGATATTTTCACTTCATATTTTATCTTAATTCATGGAATAATTATTTTTCCTTAACTAAAAATAAAAAGAATTAGCTCAAGATCCACCCTCAGGCTCCACCAGCATGTAGCCATTTTGCATCAATTGTGTTTCATATAGTACACTTTTGTGTGCATTGTGACCTCATGATCATATAGGCTTGTCGTCAAACTCGGCTAAGGCTACTCGTGTTAGCTGTATATGGGTGAGCATGGGGGTGTTCATGTTTATAATCACATTTGCTTTGAAAAGTTCGGGGTGTCTGTCTGAAAGGTGCTTTGCCATGTTTGACGTGTTGCCTCCCTTGGTCTGTGTGGCTTTGAAACACGTTTTGCAGACGGGTCTCTGTATGTCAGTGGGCTTTCCTTCACTGTCTGCAATGTAGCCAAAGCACTTCCAGATTTCACTTCTGGCATCTTTTTTTCCAACAAGCCGAGGACGGTCGGCAAAAGCTCCTGCACTTGAGGCCGTGTTTCCCCAGCGATCGCTGCTGTGAGTGATCGCTGCCTGTTGCGTGTGTGAGCGCTGGGCAGCACGCCCCCTTGCAGTCAATGCGTGCAGGCAGCATGACAGGGAGCGGAGCAGCGAGTGCGCTCTGATCGCGCGCTATTTTAATGAAGTATCGATACTAAAAATAAGTCCTGTCACTGTAAAGACATTTTAAAATCATTATTACAGTGAAATAAGTTATTCCAGTGTAGTAGATTGCTCTAACAAACTAAAAGCACGACTTAAACCGTCCTGGTTCCCTGAAAGCAGGTGGGCCAAAGGATGTTCATGTTGGTTGGACAAGCCGTCCAACACTTTGATCCCGAGCAGGATAGTGGCCAGTTCACCATTCAGTTTAAACCATTATTTCCAAACACATATTAGCAGAGACACTAGTAGACATTGTTATCCCACAGTAACATTTTCGTAACACCACCATGAACTTAGTAGATCCGACACTTGGACCACTTTGTCATCTTTGTAGTAAATCACCTGATCCTGACCTGAGAGTTTCAAGTGTACAGTTCGGACTCGCCAGTCCAGCAGAGAGCAGCTTCACTCCTGAGTCCTGCAGGTTGTTGTTACTCAGGTCCAGCTCTTTCAGACTAGAGGACTCGGAGCTGAGGACTGAGGACAGAGCTCCACAGCTTCTCTGTGAGAGGTTACAACCACTCAGCCTAGGGGAGGAACAGGGATTAATACAAACAAAATGTTGAATCAAAGTAAAATATCAAACATATTTAGCAATGGTAATATATCTGTCATGTATCTGCTTACAGAGCTTTGTTGGAGGCTTTGACCACTGGCAGCAGCCTCAGAAGAGCCTCCTCTGAATCAGAGTATTTTTTCAGGTCAAACACGTCCAGATCTTTTTGTGATGACAGTAAGATGAAGACCAGAGCTGACCACTGAGCAGGAGACAGTTTATCTCTGGAGAGACGTCCTGAACTCAGGGACTGTTGGATCTCCTCCACTAGAGATCCATCATTCAGTTCATTCAGACAGTGGAACAGATTGATGCTTTTCTCTGGAGACACATTCTCACTGATCTTCTTCTTGATGTACTGGACTGTGTCCTGATTGGTCTGTGAGCTACTTCCTGTCTGTGTCAGCAGACCTCGTAGGAGTTTCTGATTGGTCTCCAGTGAAAGACCCAGGAGGAAGCGGAGGAACAAGTCCAGGTGTCCATTTGGACTCTGTAAGGCCTTGTCCACAGAACTCTGGTAGAGATCTGTTAGCTTAGGTTTTGCTCTCAACACTTTAGGCCAATGGGTTCTTGGTTGTTTTTTTGCCATCAGGTTGACACCAGAGTTGATGAATGTCAGATGGACATGAAGAGCAGCCAGAAACTCCTGAACAGTCAGATGGACGAAGCAGAACACCTTGTCCTGGTACAGTCCACTCTCCTCCCTAAAGATCTGTGTGAACACTCCTGAGTACACCGAGGCTGCTGTGATATCGATGCCACACTCTGTCAGGTCGGATTCATAGAAGATCAGGTTGCCTTTCTGGAGCTGATCAAAAGCCAGTTTTCCCAGAGACTGAGTCATCTCCCTGCTCTCTTTACTCCAGTGTGAATCTGTCTCAGCTCCTCCATCATACTTGACCTTATTCAGTTTGGACTGAACCACCAGGAAGTGGATGTACATCTCAGTCAGGGTCTTGGGCAGCTCTCCTCCCTCTCTGGTCTTCAACACCTTCTCCAGAACTCCAGCAGTGATCCAGCAGAAGACTGGGATGTGGCACATGATGTGGATGCTTCGTGAGGTCTTGATGTGGGAGATGATCCTGCTGGCCTGCTCCTCATCACTGAATCTCTTGCTGAAGTACTCTTCCTTCTGTGGGTCAGTGAACCCTCTTACCTCTGTCACCATGTCAACACACTCAGGAGGGATCTGATTGGCTGCTGCAGGTCGTGTGGTTATCCAGAGGCGAGCAGAGGGAAGCAGTTTCCCCCTGATGAGGTTTGTCAGCAGCACATCCACTGAGGTGGACTCTGTAACATCAGTCAGGATCTCAGTGTTGTTGAAGTCCAGAGGAAGTCGAAACTCATCCAGACCGTCAAAGATGAACAGAACCAGGAACTCTTCAAAGCTGCAGATTCCTGCTTCTTTGGTTTCACTGAAGAAGTGATGAACAAGTTCCACCAAGCTGTACTTTTTCTCTTTCAGCACATTCAGCTCTCTGAAGGTGAATGGAAAGATGAACTGTATGTCCTGGTTGGCTTTGCCTTCAGCCCAGTCCAGAGTGAACTTCTGTGTTAAGACTGTTTTCCCAATGCCAGCCACTCCCTTTGTCATCACTGTTCTGATTGGTTCCTCTCCTCCAGGTGAGGCTTTAAAGATGTCTTCTTGTCTGATGGTTTTTTCTGGTCTGTCTGGTTTGCTGGATGCTGTTTCAATCTGTCTGACCTCATGTTCATCATTGACCTCTGCAGTCCCTCCCTCTGTGATGTAGAGCTCTGTGTAGATCTCATTCAGAAGGGTTGGGTTTCCTGCTTTAGCGATTCCCTCAAACACACTCTGGAACTTCTTCTTCAGGTTAGATTTGACTTTACTTTTGCACAGTACAGCACCAGCTCCTGAAATAAAAAAAATAATCATAGAATGGAATCAGTGAGTGGTTGTCTTCCATTTAATTTTAAAGTTTTTAAAATCATCTTACTGCTCTGCAGACAGTCAGCCAGCTCCTCCTGCTTCATTGTCCTCAGGAAGTTTAGTGTGATCTTCAGAATTGCCTCCCTGCTGTTCCTCTTTTGCTCTTCCTCCTCACCGTCCAACACCTCATTATCATGGCATTCTGGGTAATCTGGACTCAGAACCTTTTGGAACTTCCTTAACTCATTCTTCACAAAAGTGACAATGTTTTCTTCGAGCAGCTGAAACAGAAACATATTTAAATGTAAACCAACAGAAAATAACATCACACCTGTCCGTCACGTACTGAAAGACTATTGCTAACTGGTGTGTTGTGGTTCATTCAGAGCATTGATACGTTTCTAGTTTGACCGTGTAGCTTTCAGTTTCTAACTGTAATCTTTCATCTGGATTTGGTAACTAAAACAAATAAAACTCCTTCCTCATGGGAGTACTTAACTTAACACATCAAGACCTAAGAAACACAACACAAACTGGACACCTCATGTTGCCAGACAAACAGTCTGAGAAATGATGAAGCTTTATATGAAGCTCTAGCGTAAGTTCAGTCATGTCAGTTCATCAGCAGCGGAGAAAACATCTTGTTCCTCTCGTTTCCCTGCCTGGGAATCTCACCGGTTACTCCGGGTCACTCTGTGCAGGTAACAACCTGATCGGCACCATTCAGTCTCTGGCTAAATCCAGCAAACTGGCAGGGAAAGTGCTCGCTCTGTATATGTGCCTTGCTCAGATTTTATATACACATGCATATAACTGGTGGTGGAGTTTTTGCTTCACAGCTACGTCGCTGCTCACTGTCCTCTGATAACCTGTTTTACTGGTCACAGCTGAGCTCGACATTACATTCACGTCTTTCTGGTCACAATCATTCAAATCATCGATAGTTCTTTATTTAAATGTTATATTCTGTTATATTTCGCCTCAGTGTGTGGCTGGTATTGATTTCACCTTAATAATAATAATAATAATAATGCATTTTAACACACTTTTCATTCAGAAAATCTCAGAGTGCCACAGAGCCAGTACATAGTAAAAACATAGTTAAAACATAGTTAAAACAAACTATAATAAAATAACTAGTAAACATAAGCATAATAAAACAGTGAATGAACAGAAACACAAAAGAAACAGTGATTTAGCACAAGGTCAGAAACGCCTTCCTGAATAAAAAGGTTTTTAGGCCAGTCTTAAAAGAGACCAATGTCTGTGTTGCCCTTAGGTGGTCAGGGAGACTGTTCCATAGGTGTGGAGCCAAAGGCCCGGTTGCCCATGGTGCTTAGCTTGGTGTTGGGGACCCGGAGGAGTGAGCTGTTTGAAGATCTGAGGGTGTGGGTGGAGATTTGGGGAGTAATGAGTTATTGTAGGTAGGGAGGTGCATGATGTGTGAGTAGCAGGACTTTGTAGTCAATCCGGAATGAGACAGGGAGCCAGTGTAGTGAGTGCAGAGTGGGTGTTATGTTCTCATACTTCCGCACTCTCATCAGGATCCTGGCAGCGCTGTTTTGGATGTATTGCAGCTTCTGGATGTTCTTGGCAGTGATCCCAGTGAAGAGTGAGTTACAGTAGTCCAGTCATGAGGAGATAAAGGCGTGGACGAGCTTCTCTGCATCTGACAGCTTTAAAGTGGGCGGAGTTTGGAGATGTTTTTGAGATGATAAAAGGAGGTTTTGCACAGGTGTTTTATATGGTCATTAAAGGTCAGGTAAGGGTCAAACCTAACTCCCAGATTAGTGACTTTGGAGGAGAGGGTGATGACCTGACCGTCGAAGGTTAGATGAGTTATGGAGGATGACTGAACCTGGTGTGGAGTGCTAACAAGGAGGGCTTCGGTTTTGCTATTGTTTAACTGGAGAAAGTTGTTGCTCCTCCACGCCTTTATCTCCTCAAGACAGGCGGTGAGACATGACATGGCTGCAGAGGGGCTTGGGGCAGCTTTGATGTAGAGCTGTGTATCGTCAGCATAACAGTGGAAAGACATCCTATGTCTACTGATGACACGACCGAGGTGGAGCATGTAAGTAATGAAGAGGATGGGGCCGAGGACCGAACCTTGCGGAACACCACAGGAGACAGGGACCAGTCTGGACTTGCATCTTCCCAGTGAGACATATTCAGTTCTGCCTGAAAAGTAGGACTGAAACCACTTGAGTGCGTCATCATGGAGAAAATGTCCTGTAGGCAACTTCTGTAGCAGAACTAACACATAAGCGGTCTTTAGTACTTTGCCATTTGCTTGTCTGTCTGAGGGCAGATTTGTCCCGGTAATAGTGTCACAATAGATTAAGTCACAAATCTCTTCAAGTGTATTGTAGGATCACACAAAAAAACAGGCAGAGTTCAAAGATGTGTGCAGTCCGAGCAAGGCCAGCAGGAGTAGATGGGTAAGAAGTGGGGAATGACCCATTGGCCCGTCCCACTTTACAGCCTGGCCTGATTTGGCTTTGCAAGATGTCCTCCTGTTGTTTCCTGATGTATTCTACTTTTTTATTCATTTGTTATTCATTGCGTTCTTCTAGATAAATACTATTCATAGCTTTCTGCTAATTCCCTCTATCCGTCGTACTCTGGTAAGTGGGTCACTTTTAATGCATCATGGTCTAATGCGATCTCATACACTGCTTCATGGTCTAATGTGTCCTCATACTGTTGTCCTGTCATGTGTTGGATGCTGCTATTTGACCCTGTCTTGTCTTGTCTTGTCTAGGTCTCACTGTAAAATAGGATTTAATTACAGTGTGCGTCTTCTTAGTTCAGGGGTCGGCAACCTTTACTATCCAAAGAGCCATTTTGCCTTATTTTCCACCAAATAAAATTTTTTCTGGAGCCGCAAAAGCTATTTGATATCACAGCTTATAAAGTGTTATATATAGTCATATTATTTATACAACAACTATAGTTTGTTGTATTTATGAATTTATAGAACAAGAATAAAGACAATTCTTGACATTTTATTGCTATTTTACCTGTTAAAACAAAAACTTGCTCAGTTTGCTGCAGCAGTTGATAAATCGCTCTTTTTCGCTCATCTCCAGCGTGATACTTTTCAGCAAATGCTGTGTGCTTGTTCTGGAAGTGTCTTTCAACATTACATTGTATTGTTTGCAAATTTCTCGCCACATATCAAGCATACAGGTAAGTCAGCATCGTTGGCAGTGAAAGCAAATGAAGACGTCCACGCAGAATTAAACTCTCTATTTTCCTCCGTGACTTTTCTTTTTTTGGATTCATCCATTGACAGTTTACCGAGGGCGGGGGTCTGCAAGTCATGATTAGCCACCTGCAGAGAAAGGCGCCTGACAGCGACGTAATGTGACGCACATTGTAGTTTGTCCACTGTGCAAAAAACAACCGTTATTTATTCCACGTTATTTTTTGTCAAAGCCTGAGGCCAAGTCCACACTACTACGTTTCCATTTGAAAACGCATATGCTTTGCTACGTTTACACTGAGCGTGTCACGCCCCTCTCACGTGACCCTTTCCCGGAAGATCACAAACAACAGTATGAGCAAGGAGCAATATATTCACAAGGAGGGTAAATATGTTGCTGCTTGCTCGGTGTGCCCCAAAGACATAGTTTCATTTCCCTGGACTTCGTCGTTGGCCTACCTCCCTCCGAAGATAAAATAGCAATTTTTTTCTGTTGACAGATTTTCAAAGATGGTGCACTATTCCTCTACACAAGGTGCACTATTCTTTCTTCCACAAAGGAAATGGCGGTGGTTGTTCTGTCACATGTGTTTCCAGTGAGCTTTAATAGTTGTATTGATATCTGTTTTCAGGTTGTCTGAGTACAGTATACTGTATCCGTCCCTATCCAATAAACCATGAATAAATAAATACAGTTTTCACTGCAGTGATTTTACAAACTAAAACTCTACACAACCTAAAATTGTACTTCATTTAATGGTCAATAGTCTGGCCCTCTCCAATGCAGACAGCACTGATGAAATACTGAGCGGAATTTGATTTGAGTTGACTTATAGCTCTGACAATTGAAAGGTGCTTTTGGAATAGTTATGGCTCACTAGCACAAGCACAAATATAACTGCTGGTTTGAATGTTAATTATAAAGCGGATTTATAACATGTATAACATGCCTCTCACGTGGGTCAAATTTCCCGTAGGGATGCACACATTCTCCCGTCAAGTTTGTTTTTAGAGATCACAACAAGCCTGTTTTAGGCCCTGTACACTGATGGCAGAGGTTGCCATACAAGGTGCAAACCTGCACATCAGCGGTGGTTAGACGTTCAGTGTCACATGTTCAAGGTGTACAGAGGAAATGGAGGTGGGTTTTTTTTATGTACAAAACATACAATTAATATGCTCTGCGTTCAGAGGTCAGAGCTCAAATTTACATACCTTAAACACTGAATCCAAGTTTGCTTGAGGCTTCTGGAAATGCCGACTACTGGGAACATTTGATCTCTGAAGCTGAAGCCTGTAGAGAAAAAGGGTTTAGACTTAATGACAACAGAGTAATTCTGTGTCATATTATGAGAAACCAGAAAAATAAAGTCTTACATAGAGAGAGGCGTTCTTTTAGACTGCTTAATATTTTGTCTTTATAGATGATTCCTCACGGACATACAAAAGTAAATTCTTCAAATGAAATAAGAGAAAAATGTTTCCTTTGGTTGAAAAGTTTACCCTTGTTTATCGGACTGATGTCCATGAAGGAACCCCCGAGGGACAGTACTGGACCGGTCACTGTTCGTGGACACACAGCTGGGTTCAGAGTCTGTTCTCTGCTGGTCGACACTGACAGAAACAGTTCTCATAAGTGCACATGTTCAGCAAACATCTTCACAGGAAATTCCAGAAAAGTGTTTCTTTTAGTTTACGATTCAATCATTTGTGGAATTTGTCTTGGTGTTTGCTCGGGGAAGACAAAATGTGACAAACAATACAGATACAAAACACAAGTGTTTGATGCATTCAGAGACCCACTAAAGGACACAGTTTAAGTTGAGTTCATAGACTGAACTGATGAGGAGGAGTTAAGATCCCTGATTGCTTCAGGATGCTGTTACAGAAAAAAGCAGTTCTACTCTTAAAGTTACTACAAGGAACTTTAACTTTGTGTTGTTTCTGGCGGTCCCTGTGGACTAAAGTGGTAGTGTTTCTGAGCACCATAGTCCCTTTAGAAAACCTCTCATTTTACTGCAGCAGGGTCTGACAGTCTGCCCCTCTCAGTTCTGGTTCTGGTTCTCCCGTGC